AAAGCTAGCATGGAAAAATTAAAGGAACACAATAAATCTGAAATATTATGGGGAAATAAATGGGTAATTGTATGGCAGTGGTTCTCAAACTTTTTGGTCGCGTGATCTTTTTACCCTCTTAAAAAATATTGAGGACCCCACCTGAAGAGCTTATAGACTATATCCTATCATTGTTGACCATATTAGGAATTAAAAGTGTTAGTATTATTATGAAAATAGTTTTAACTTTGTGGACTGCTTGAAAGTGCCGGGTACTCCCAGGGATCGGTCCGTCACTTTCAGAATCACTGGAATGCTACAAATTCCTTTAGAACATAGGAATTTAATGCAAACAATACCTTTTAACCTATATCTAGTCATAATTACCCAAGAAATACTTCTCTCAGTCCTCCCACTTTTCTAGCTAGTTAGATCATTAAACATGTTTTACATTTTCATTCTTACAGATTGGAATCAGAGCCACGCATATTAAATTACCAAGAAACTCAACTGAGGCAGAGGTAAGCTGTTGGGTTCATGTGGAACAAACCTTCTTATGGTTCCATATCATGGTTATGATTTGTGACATTTTCAGGGCTAAGGGGTTTGTGTGTGATAGGTACATACCTTGCCCCATATTCAAGGCTGCTTACTTCAAAGGAAGAGACCCAGAATAAGTGGTGTAATCCTGTGATGCAGGTGATTCAACACACATCTATTAAGTGTCTGCTGTGTTTAGAGCATTGTGCTAGTAACTAAGGGAAATACAAAGAATAAATACCTGACCCCTGTCCTCATAGAGCATACAGTCATCACATAAAATAACTCAAATACATAAGAGGTACAGATAAGCTAGTTCTACATAAGAGGTTCTACATATGAAATTACATAAAAAGTTTAATATCTATATTGAATCCATTGTTTCTTATAAATCTCCTTTCCTTTACTCTCAAGGGGTAAATTCTATAATCAGACCTTCATACTTGGAGTATGGAATGTCTTCCTAATTGCTGTCCCAGCTTCTATTCTTTTTCCCCTCTCTCATTCATCCCCAGCACAAGTGCCAAAATTACCTTCCTCAAACACAGGTCACTTCCCTACTCAACAAACCTGTTTTGTCTCTAGAATAAAATACAAACTTCTGTTTGGAATTTAAAGCACTTAGCTGACTTTTCCAGGCTGGTTTGATATTCCTGCCTTCATCTCGTCTCCATTCCAGCCAGACTGGCCTGCTGTCCTATTCCTCATCCATGACATTCCGTCCCATCTCCGTACCTTTGCACAGGCTGACCCTCAGGCCTTGAATCCATTTCCTCCTCACCTCACCTCTACCTTTTGAATCCCTAGTTCCCTTTAAAGCTCAGCCCAAATGCCGTTCCCTACATGAGGCCTTTTCTGATCATCCTGGCTGCTAATAACCCCCCTCCCAAAAAAATTTACCTTGTGTCTGTTTTATGTATTTATATGTATATTTGTTGTCTCCTTCTATAGAAAGAAAACTCTCGGGGCAGAAACGATGTCGTTTTTGCCTTTACAAACTTTCTTTTAGTAGATTTTTAATAAATGCTTTTTGATTGTTTGGTAGTAGGCACTTAATAAATGCTTATTCAACTGACTTGTGAACAAAAGCATTCCATTAATAAGAAATAAAAATAAGCTCATAACAGGGCCCTAAATGGCTGAGTAAGAAGGAAGGCCGAGAAGCAGAGCAACGTACTGATCAGAGAACCAACCTCAGTGTCAGGAAGACCTGGGTTCAAGTGTTATCTCTGATGCATTAACTGTGTGCCCTTGGACAAGTTACTTAACTTCTCAGTGTCCCAGACATCTCTCTAGAACTATAAAGTGCAGAAGTTGCATTCTTCTATCTAACTATCTGCATTGGTAGGAGCTTCTTCACTGAGAATGCCTTACAACAATGAAATCACAGATCTAGACCATTTATCCCCAGCGGTTCCCATGCCACCTCTCCCACCCACTACCTGCAAACCTTTCTTTAACTGCTGCCTCAACATACCTCTCTAGTATCTAGAGATATTATTGGGAGGTGTTTTGGTCTAACAAGAAAGTTATATGCAGGACCTATGTGATAGTGGGTTTTTTCTTTGAACTCTCTGAACTAAAACTCTTAGAGGGGAAATGAGGTTGGATATGTTTTGCCTTACAATAGTCTCCATTCCTACTCTCTACCTTCTTTAACTTGTAAAATTTGTTTTTAGGTTTTAAAGTGCATCACATCTTTGAATGAAGACCCTACTGTACATGGACTCCTGGTCCAGTTACCTTTGGATGCAGAAAAGACCATTAGCACTGAGCTGGTGACAAATACCATCGCTCCCGAAAAGGATGTGGATGGGTGTGTTTGACTTTTTGAGTCACTTCATTTTAAAGCTGTTGTATCTTTAAAACATGTATTGGTAACTCAGGGAAGCTCCATACCAATGTTTAAATTGCCTTGTTCTCACTCATTCTGCCTTTAGTTTAATGTTTCAGTTTGACTAGCGTCAGTGCTGGGAAGCTTGCTAGAGGTGACTTAGAGGATTGTTTCATTCCCTGTACACCTAAAGGATGCTTGGAACTTATCAAAAAGACAGGTAAGGCTAATTTTTCAGAGCCTCCCCTTTTTTATCGTCTTTTATTAATGTTTATACTTTCTATTCATTGATTCCACGTAAGACAGCATGCATTAATTTAAGGACCTTTTCTGTACTGGGTACTGCTGGAGAGCTTACAAAGTTTATATAAAAAACATGCTTCCTCAAGCTTGTATGTATCATAACCATTGGAAATCTGTTTGTTTATGACAAATTAAAATCTTTGTTTTAATCTTTTAGAGTAATGGATTCTTTTATTTAGTTATCTGTAATTTTTTTTATTGGCTTTACATTCATTCATCAGTTAGTCACCAAGCATTTATTAAGTACTTATTACATGTCAGACACTGTGCTAAGGGTTGGGTAATACAGAGAAAGGCAAGAAATTGTTCCTGGCCTTATGAAACTTACATTCTAAAGGGAGAGTCAACATGTAAATAGCTAGATACATATAGATACATATACAGAACAAATGGAAGGTAATTTTTTTAAATAATATTTTATTTTTTTCCCAATTTACACGTAAAAACAATTTTTAGCATTCATTTTTTGAGTGCCATATCCTCTTCCTTCATCTCTTCCCCCACCCCAGACAGTAAGCAGTTGATATAGGTTATACATATGTAATCATACAAAACATATTTCCATATTTATCACAACTTTTAATATTTAGGTTGCATATCCATTTTGAGCTCTTTGTATATGGCTTAAGATATTAATTTCTAATTTAGTTGATTCTAATTTCTCTTATCGTACTTTGCAATTTTCCCATTAATTCTTGTTAAATAGAGAGTTCTTGCCCATGCAATGTATAATTTCAGGTTTATCAAGCACTGTGGGTTATTGAGTTTGATGTTTCTGAGACAAAATAGTGTACTATATAGCGAGCTAGACTTGGAGTCAGGAAAACTCATTTCAGATCTTGCCTCCATCACTTACTAACTCTCAGCCTCACTTTTCTCAGCTGTAACTTGTGGATAATAATAGCACCTACCTCTTAGGATTGTTGTGAGGATCAGATCAGATACTATATGTGAAGCACTTTGCAAACCTTAAAGCACTATAGATATATAATGCTTGTATTTATAAGCTACTGTTCTTATCTAATCTATTCCACTGATCTATTTGGTTTTTTTTTAAGTATCAAATAGTTTCTTTATGATTACTGCTTATTGTAATTAATTTGTCTAGTTTCATAAAGAAGTACATTGGAAACAGAAGTAATTTTGTTTCCTCTTTACCTATGTTTATACCTTTAATATTTTTCTTTGATCTTTTTGTGAGTGCTAGCATTTCTAGAACTATGAAATGAAAGGAATCAGAAAGGGAGTATCCTTGACTTACTCTTGCATTTATGGGGAAAGCTTCAGGTATTTCTCCATTGCAAATACTTTGGTTTTAGCTATGTGCTTTTGTGGTATTCAGAAAACTGCCCTTCCTTTATATTTTTAAAACTTATTGCTGAAAATGCTTTAGCCTTGCATACACTTTCCTATAAATCAAATGTTATATGTATAAGAAGTTATTTACTATTTAAAGAAGTTGGTGCAGTCGTATCTTATATGGCAAGTTTTATTTGACCAGCTTTTTTTCCCCAAGTGTAAGTGGTGCTTGGTTGTAACTGGCAACAAAAACTCAAGTCTTATTGCCATTTATCTTTTAGGACATTAATTTTTTCTTCCTTACCTGTAGTTTCACTGATGTAGAGAAATTCTGGTGAGGAAACTCCCTGCTCCTGATGCAACATTTCTGCAGCTCAATAGTCTTGGTTTCCAGGGTCACAGAGAGATTAAGTGATTTATCCAGAATCAGACAGCTAGTATGTATTTGAGGTTGGATTTGAACCCAGATTTTCCTTACTCCAAAGTTAGTTTTCAGTCTGCTAAGCTGACTCTAATACTTAAATTTCCTGTCTAAAATTAATTTACTGTCAATTAGAGAAGCATAACATAAATTGCACATGAAATAGGTCAGCTGTTAGTTACCTAATGTACTGATTGAGTAATGCAGGTCACTTACACCTGAATCATGCTTTGAAACCCCTTTTCTAAATATTACAGTGTATGAGAATGTCTTTTATGTTTCTATTTCAAAATATCTCCTCTGGTTTGGCCTATCAGAAATTCTTGGAGATACTCTTATTTCATGGATGGTCCATTTTTCCCCCAAAGGATTATACTTTGTTTAGCCAAATATTTTATTCTTGATTGTAAGCCTTTGTCTTTTATATTTTGGAATATCATTCCAAACTCACTTCTTCTGCAAAGTGGCAGGTGCCAAATCTTGTATGATCTTGACTTTGGCTCCTTGGTATTTGAACTCTATTTTTTGGCGATTTGGTGATTTTTTGGTGATTGGTAGATTCTTTCTTTTTCCACTTTGCTTTCTGGTTTTAAGAATTCTGGGCAGTTTTCATTTATAATTTCTTGATATACGGTAGCAAGACTTTTTTGTTGGAGAGATAGTGTCATGATTTTTCAGAAAGTTTGGTAATTTTAGATTAGCTTTCTTTCACCTATTTGCCCGGTCAATTGTTATGATATTCAATTTTTTTTCTTTTTTTTTACTTTGGTTTTTTTTCCACTCATTTTGTGGTTTTGTTTTAATTTTTCTTGTTTCATTGAGTCATTTTCTGTTTGATGTTTTCTAATTTTCATGGTATTTAGTTCTTAGAAAAGGTTTTCCATCATGTCTTCTAAGGGGTTGATGCCTTATTTGTTGTAAGGTTGCTCACTTCCTTGGGTTTAACACCCCACCTTGTGTCTCTGTCCAAGGTATTTCTTCATAATGTTTGTTGGATTTCTTGGTTTGTTCATATTAACTGTTTCAGGGTCTCGGTTGGGGACAGGGAGGGGGCGTGTTCTATGCTTGGGTCAGACACTGTTCTTGCACTCCTGAAGGGAATGAGCAGGCCTCACCTGATTCCATATGTGGTGAACAAGATTAGGACATTCCCCCAAGGGATTCCAGTGCTGCCCCAACATTGGGCTTTGCCTTTCCCCTTACTGCCAAGCCCAGGGGCATACTGCCAGCACTCCTACCTAAACTACTGTGAGGACTCCCTATCGCCACATGACTCTGGTCTTTCTCCCTGCCTTAGGTGCTGCTATAGCTTTTCCCACACTGAGTCCCTACCAGAAGACTTTGGGGTTGCCCCCAACTGTTCTTTGGTCAGGGCTCTTCTCTTGCCAGTGGGCTGGAGTGGCCCCTTCCTAGGTGGAGGCCACACTATTCCTTTCCAGTTGCCCAAGTCTGCTTTGTACTGCTCTCTTGACCTGTCCCAGCTGGTCCATTTCAAGGTTCCTGCAGGATTTTGTCAGTGCTTCTGTGCACTCATAGGCCTGGTGCAGGACTCTGTATGTGATTCTCCTTATTTTACCAGATAACGGGACATTTTTAGTTTTGGGGAGATGTTTGTTGGGGGATCTGGGCTCCTATGGGTTACCTCACCTTCCTGGTCTCGGTTTCCTCCTCTGCAAAATGAAGGTGTTAGACTAGATATAAGATCCCTTCCAGCTCTGAATCTCTGGACCCTTCTCATTTTCCAGCCATAGCCTCTGCCCAGACCCCCAACTTCAAGGGAAATTGGGCAAGGAGAACTCTTAACACTCTTCCAGTATATCGTTTTCCTTGAAGTTAAGGAAAATGAAACTACATACTCATTAATCTAATAATCTTTCTCTGCTTTCTGTCTCCCTTTTCTCCCCTTCTCTCTCCACCCCCCCACCCCCCCAGCTTTGTTGCTTATAACTTTTGTTTCTTGTAATTTAGTCTGGTACCTTCTTCCATTTAGCTGTTTAGCTGTGTGTCAAGTTGTGTTTTTTTTTTAATGTATGTGTGTGGGTTTTTTTCCCACTCTGCTATGACTCAGTGAATGGATTTTGCTTAAGCTGCTTTCAGAAAACCCACAGCAAGAAGGAGTGCATGTCCAAGTCTCAATTTGTTACTCAAACTTAAAAGCAGAGAATTTACACCCAATAATGAAGGGAGGTGAAGAAACTTAAAAAGTTTCTGACTTATGATAGAAGCCCATACGTGTACACTTATTCCCTCTGACCCAAGTAAAATATAGGTAGCATTATGAACAAAAAATTCCTCTTGCCTCTGTGTTTGAGATCGATTCTGGGGTTTCTTTCAGGAGTACAAATTGCTGGTAGGCATGCTGTGGTGGTTGGACGTAGCAAGATTGTTGGTGCACCAATGCATGACTTGCTTCTGTGGAATAATGCCACAGTGACCACATGCCATTCAAAGACTATCCAGTTGTCTGAGGAGGTAAGATCTTCAGGGAATAGTGTATACCTAAGGTTTATCAGTGTTAGCTGTCCAAAGGTGTGCTATGTCATAAGGGTGCAGGGAATTGGATGTCACAAAGTAGCACTTGGACAGTGGCAGTTTGTTTTCTGACTACACTGAAATCCTTAGCACGGAACAAGAATAACTTCTAATGTCTTTGTGATCATAGGCAAATGTCTAAATCAAGATGTTCAGCCAGATTTTTGTATTCATAATAAGATGAGGCTAATGCTTCTGTGAACAGAGATGTGTCTTGTAGAATTGAAGGAGATAAATATCAGAAATAGCTTCACTTGGGATTTTTAGTAATGAGTCTTTGGCTCATTTGTAAGGCTTTCCTCTCAACCTCTCCCCTCAAATATCCCCAATAAATTTCTTTCACAATGTCCCTACAAAGAACATGGTCGTATCCCTATTTTATAGATGAGGAAATTGAAACCTAAGAAGCTAAGTGACTTACAAGGCTTGTCTGAGATAGCTTAGAGGAAAAGACAAGATTCCTGATGTTATCTTCCCATCCCAATGCCCTTTCCACTTCTTGACTGCGTTTCTAGTATCAATTTCTATTTACTGCTATGATTGTTTTTGTTTTTCCCCCCTTTTTTTGACAGGTGAATAAAGCTGATATTCTTGTGGTTGGAACTGGACAGCCTGAAATGGTGAGAGGAGAATGGATTAAACCTGGAGCTATAGTAATAGACTGTGGAATCAACTATGTTCCAGATTGGTGCTCCACTTGCTATTTTTGGAAGTTGGGGAGGGTAAAGGAAGATCCTTTGACTCATTGGAAATAAGCCAAGAATGTACATGTTGAATGGAATGGTGATGAGTGAACTATTCTAGAACTTGTGCCATTTATGGACCTTAATGTGATGGGGAATGGGAGGCAGTAAAGATGTGATTTTTAGATGACGTTGATGAAATCTAGTCTCACTGAATAAATATACAGTGTAGCATCTAGGCTTTGTTTCAAGTCTTAAAGTGAAAGATAATCTTCTTTTCCCCTTCTAGTCTTAAATATGACTATTAAATTGCTAAGAAAATTAGTCACTGTCAAGTTTTCACCATATTTAATCTCCCTCCCACTCTCTCACCATGCTTTTAAGGCAGTAACTCATAATTGATAGCTCCTTTTTCCTGCAGTGCAATTACCTAATGGATTATAAAGAAATTGCTCTCCTACAACTCATCACTTTCTCTGCTTCCTGATGATATCGGAGTTTCTTCTCTTTAAGATCTTATGTCCTCTATATAACAAGATTTCAGCCTTTGCCATTCTTCACCTTTATCCTTTGTGAGATGCAGAGAGATAGAATAAGAAAGGTAATAGATGATGGCTGGTTATTCTTGTAGGTTATCATAGAATGTTTACTTGAACTTGAAGCTTTTATCTGTCTTCCCTACAATCTGCCTTTCTTAGAGAATAAATATGAATAAAACAAAAACAGCTCTTTCTTACTGTTGTTCCTCTGTGAATTGTTATTGTTAGGTTAGAACATAGACACACATAGTTGTCTACAAAACTGGTTCTCATGTTGCATGAGAAAGAATAAAAAATGTGACAGAACAATAGAGTGAATGAATCCAAAGGCTAAACTTTCCAAATGTCCTTTTGGATAGATCCTTGTCCCCTACAAAGTGATGCTCATGTCTTGGTTCTTATTTTAATTATTACTTTTAATATTAATTTATTAATTCATTTAAATAATTAAGTTAATAGTAATTTGATTATTACTTTTACTTTAATTATTACTTTTGTAGTACATTCAAGGGATAAAATAACATTGTCCTACCAAAAACCCAAGCAGCCTCTGCCAATTGAAAGTAGAAGAGAGCAGTTGGGTTAGTGAAAAGAATGGAGACTATGCCATATAAGGATCATCTGATGGAACTGGGAATGTGTATCCTGTAGAAGAGAAGACTTAAAGGGGATATGATAGCAATTTCCAAGTATTTGCAGGGCTATCATGTGGAAGAGGGATTAGACTTCCTATGTTTGGCTGTAAGAAGCCAAACTAGGAGTCAGGAAGAAGTTTCAGGAAGGCAAGTTTCAGTTCCATGTAGAAAAATACTTCCTGATAACTTGAGCTATCTCAAAGTAGAATGGGCACTGGTCTTCTTGCTGGGAAATGGTGAGTTTCCCCTCATTGACTAGGTCTTTAAGCAGAGGCTGGAGGACTTTTTGTTGGGGCTGCTCTAAAAGGGATTCTTCATCTTGTAGAGGCTGGATTAAAGGGCCTCTAAGGACCTCTCCAAATTTTAGAGGCTGAAATTCTGTGAAAGCTTCCACATCTTCACGTTGAAAAATGGCCAATCTGGTAGTCATACCTTTCCTAAGGCAGTCAAAGAGCTGAGAGAGAGATAAGACTATCATAAAATTTAGCCATTCTGGAGGAAAATTGAGATTTGTGATTTGTACAGTAGGTTTTGGAAATTGTTGAGTGGTTGCTATGCTGGATGTTATTTATTGAAAGACTGAGAGGGCTACAGTACTTCATGAAAACAGGAAAGCAGTCTGTAAGCCCACCTTATTATTGGACTAAATCTGAGAGTACAGAAAAAGAAAAGTTTGAAGTGAATCCAAAAACTAAGCTATAGGTAGTAGTTGACTATAACATACTGCAGTTTCATTAATTGGAAATGTTACTCTGAGCCTTTTAGCTTAAGAGATCCAGGAATAAGTGTTCTTTCCCAGTTTACTGCTCAAAAACAAACAAAACTTCTCACAATCTAAAGCTTTCACAGAAAGTTCTGGCTGTTGTGAAGGTAGAGAAGCAGCAACAGCAACATCCCTTATATTTGCATGGTGTCTTATCCTTTTAAGAGCACTTGCAATTACATTATCTTATTTAGTTCTAGAAACGCTTCTGTGAGTTTGGTAGGGGAGGTGGCATTTGCCAGCATTGCAGAGGAGGAGGCTATAAAGGCTGAGCGTGGATTAGCCATGTCAAGACACAAGACTCCTACATCAGTGCTCTTCCCAATATAGCCTTCTTCATCCCTGGAGAACTGAAAGCAAAGAAAAGTGGTGACTGAAACAAGATTACATGCAAATGTTGGAAGGCCTTGCTCACAATGGTATTCCAGATTCTGGCTCTGAACCTTGGAGCTGCAAAGTCTAGACCTTCCCCTTTCCTAGGAGAAGCAGTGAAACTGAGTGTGGGAGGTGCCTTGTGTGAGGGAGTGTATGGTGTATCCTTTGCTTTTGTTCTTCCAAATAGCTATTCTTTGCTGGTAAGATTTGTAGTTGTTCTTGGCATCCTTTTGAGGAGAGTGTAATTACATTCTTTGCCTTTTGCATACATTTATGGAGCTGCTCATCTTTGGAATTGGATGTTGGATTGTTCTTCAACTCACGCAGGGAAGCTTAACAGAATGCTGGCAGTTGCTATAGAAACGGAATCTGGCAGCTGTGACAGGGTTCAGGCTTTGTGCACCTAAAAACTCTCTTTGTAGGCCGTGGTAAATTAACATTTTAAGAAGGGTTCATTATGGAACTGTTAATTGGCCTAAAGAATAAAGAACAGCCTTGGTTTTCTTCAATGCCTGGTGTCAGGCAAAAGGATTTTCCTGTTAGTCTATCAAAGCCTAAGCATTTTATTGTTTTTCCATCTTTTTGTGTTTGTTTATTTTAATGATTTAGCAACTACCATTTATCTTATTCTTTTTGAAGTTGAAAATAGCAATAGCTTACCATAGCCATAGCAGATTTTTTTTTAATTTATTTTTTCTCCCCAGTTACATGTAAAAACAATTTAACATTTGTTTTTAAAACTTTGAGTTCCAAATTCTCTCCCTTCCTCTCTCCCCACCCCCCTTCATTGAGAAGGCAAGCAGTTTGAGACAGGTTATACATGTATAGTCATGCAAAACTATTATTCATGTTGTGAAAGAAAACATAGACCAAAAAACTCAAGAAAAATAAAGAAAGTTAAAAAAAATTCAATCTGTATTCAGGCACTATCAATTCTTTCTCTGGGGATAAATAGCACTTTTCATCATAAGTCCATCAGAGTTGTCTTGGATCATTGTGGTTATTCACAGTTCAATATCTTAAAATATTGCTGTTTCTTTGTACACAGTACATGTCACTTGGCATCAGCCATGCAAGTCTTTCTAGGTTTTTCTGAGAGCATCCTGCTCACCATTTCTTACGGTACAATAGAATTCCATCATAATCACATTCCACAGCTTATTCAGCCATTTCCCAATTGATGGACAACCCCTCAACTTCTATTTCTTTGTCTCCATAAAAGAGCTACTATAAATATTTTTGTACATATAGGTCCTTTTCCTTTTTGTTTTTTATCTCTTTTGGGATACAGACCTAGTAGTGGTATTGCTAGGTCAAAGAGTATTCTTGGTTTTATAGCCCTTTAGGCATAGTTCCAAACTACTCTGCAGAATGGTTCAATCAATTCACAACTCCACCAGTAGTGCATTAATGTCTCATTTTTCCCACATCCCTTCCAACATTTCTCATTTACCTTTTCTGTCCTGTTAGCCAGTCTAACAGATAGGAGGTAGTACCTGAGAATTGCTTTTATTTTGCATTTCTCCAATCAATAGTGAGTTAGAGTATTTTTTCGTGTGGCTTCAGATAGCTTTGATTACTTTAGCTAAAAAATAACCATACTTTTTGATCATTTATCAATTGGGGAATGGCTCCTATTTTTATAAATTTGGTTCAGTTCTTTATATGTTTGAGAAATGATGCCTTTACCAGAGAAACTTGCTTCAAAAAATTCTTTCACAATTACTATTGCTAACTGTATTTCCCTCCATCCTATTCTACTCCCTACCTTTATTCTATTCTCTCTCTCCTTTCACTGTCCCTCTTCAAAAGTGTTTTGCTTCTCCCCCAATCTGCCCTCCCTTCTATCACAAACCCCCACTCCTGTCCCCTCCCGCTTTCCTGTGGGGTAAGATAGATTTCTATAGCCAATTGCGCATGTATATTTCCTCTTTGAGCTATTTCTGATGAGAGTAAGGTTCACTCACTCTGCCTCACCTCCCCCCTCTTCCCCTCCACTGTAAAAGCTTTTTATTGCCTCTTTTATGTGAGATAATTTACCCCTATTCTACCTCTCTCTTTTCTGTTTCTCCCAGTATATCCCTCTCTCACCCCTTGATTTTATTTAGAAATCATCCCTTTATAGTCACACTATACATGTGCCCTCTCTCTATATATACTCCTTCTAACTACCCTAATAATGAGAAAGGTCTTATGAGTTACAAATATCATCTTCCCATGTAGGAATGTAAACAGTTTAACCTTATTAGGTCCCTTGTGATTGCCCTTTGCTGTTTACCTTTTTATGTTTCTCTTGAGTCTTGTATTTGAAGATCAAATTTTCTATTTAGCTCTGGTCTTTTCAAGAATGCTTGAAAGTCTTCTATCTCATAGAATGTCCATTTTTTTCCCCAGAAGGATTATACTCAGTTTTGCTGGGTAGGTGATTCTTGGTTGTAATCCTAGCTCCTTTGCCCTCTGGGATATCATATTCCAAACCCTCCAATCCTTTGATGTAGAAGCTGCTAAATCTTGTGTTATCCTGACTCTGGCTCCGTGATACTTGAAATATTTCTTTTTGGCTGCTTGTAATATTTTCTCCTTGACCTAAGAACTGTGGAATTTGGCTATAATATTCCTGGCAGTTTTCCTTTTGGGATCTCTTTCAGGGGGTGATTGGTGGATTCTTTCAATTTCCATTTTACCTTCTGGTTCTTAGAATATCAGGGTAGTTTTCCTTGATAATTTCTTGAAAGATGATGTCTAGGCTGTTTTTATTTTATTTTTTTTTTGATCATTGCTTTTAGGTAGTCTAATAATTTAAAAATTCTCTCTCTTGGATCTGTGTTGCAGGTCAGTTTTTTTTTCCAATGGAATATTCCACATTGTCCAAAATTTTTTTGTTCTTTTGGTTTTGTTTTATCGTTTGTTGATTTCTCATAGGATCATTAGCTTCCATTTGTTCCGTTCTAATTTTTAAGAAATTATTTTCTTCAGTGAGCTTTTGGACCTCCTTTTCCATTTGGCCAATTCTGCTTTTTAAGGCATTCTTCTCCTCATTGGCTTTTTGGACCTCTTGTACTATTTGGCCTAGTCTGTTTTGTAAGGTGTTATTTTCTTCAGTATTTTTTTTGTGTCTCCTTTACCAAGCTGTTGACTCATTTTTCATGATTTTCTTGCATCACTCTCATTTTTCTTTCCAATTTTTCCTCTACCTCTCTTACTTGTTTTCAAAATCCTTTTTGAGCTCTTCCATGGCCTGAGACCAATTCCTATTTTTCTTAGAGCCTTTGGATGTAGGAGCTTTGACTTTGTTGTCTTCTGATTGTGTGTTTTGATCTTCCTTGTCACCAAAGTAAGATTCTATAGATTGAGGGTTTTTTCCCCCCTCACTGTTTGCTTATTTTCCCAACTAATTACTTGACTATTTACCTCTGGTAAGGGAGGGCTCTGCTTCCAGTGTGGAGGGTGTACTACTTCAAGGGTTTTGTGCAACTGTTTTCAGAGATACTTCTAGGGACCTGTAATTTTTCAGTTCTTCCAAGGTGGCATGATCTAAGGAGACATATTTACTACTCTCTGGGCCTCTACCAGTTGTCTTGTGGTCTGTGAGTGACCATAAACATCTTTTCTGCCCTGGAACTGTGAGGAGTGTCTCTCCTCCCCACCCCCCACACTTCTGCCACAAGCTCTGGCGTACTGATGCTCCTCCTCGTTCTGAGACTGCCACCCAGTACTGGGACCTGGATCCAAGTATGTACAAACCAACAGAGTTCTTCCTCAATGCTAGCAAAGAGACCTTTGTAATCTTCTTCTGATCAGTTGTTCTACTCCTTTACCATCTGTGGGATGAGAGCTCTAGAAACAGCTGCTATAACTGCTGATTCAATGATTTCCAAGGCCTGCTCTGGTTTGCTGTGGCTGGGCTGTGATGGCACACCTGCGTTGGACTAAGCTGTCTTTAGCATCTATGGGCAGAGGGGTCTGGAAACCACTACTGCTGCCAGGGATTCAGTCACCCCAAGGCTGCTCCGTGTTTGCTGGGGCCTGGCCTGTACTGGACTACACTCCTCTCTCACCCTGGTGCAACAGATCTTTCCTGCCAACTTTTCAAGTTGTCTTGGGCTGGAAATTTGTTTCACTGTCTTTTTGTGGGTTCTGCTGCTATAGAATTTGTTTAGAGTCATTTTTAAAGGTATTTGGAGGAGTTTAGTTGATAGCTCAGGTGAGTCCCTACCTTTACTCCACCATCTTGACTCTGTCTCCCTATCTTATTCTTTAAAGAGGAAAAGGGAATTATACCTGGTAGGACCCAAGATCTTAAGCCCACTTAAGTTTCTAGTACAAACTCTCAAATAACTGTCACTCTATCAGATACTACAGGAAACACAGCTATGAAAACATTGGATGAAGAGCTAAAAATTCATGAGAATTTGGTCTGGGTATTTCCTTTATCTGTAAGGATTTTTCTCTTTTTAAAAATTATTCTGTAGATAATGGAAAACCTAATAGAAAAAGAGTTGTGGGGGATGTGGCTTATCATGAAGCAAAAGAGAAGACTTCCTACATCACGCCAGTTCCTGGTGGAGTTGGACCCATGACTGTGGCAATGTTAATGCAGGTACTTCCATTTGCAAAAAAAAAATAAATAAATAAAAAGCATTTTATGTAATAACAATCAGTACAACAGACAATAGTTGTTTGTCATATCCTTCGGTTTCAGAAATGTTTGGAGAATAGACTCAGAAGAGATAAATAAGTATATTAGCCTGGCAGAGAAATTTATGTGGAGATGAAGATACATAAACATAGAGCTAAGTATCTGTTCTAAAGGAGTAGAGCCATGGCACAGATGATCTCTAAAATTATTTATATTTGATTTTGAAATGTGGATCGCTCACTTTCTCAACACATCCCAACCGTGAATGGAGGGAGGCAGCCCAGGAGTCTGTTGGTTGGCAGTACTGAAGCCAGGCTGGAATGAAAACTTGCTGAAATTGAGGCACAATTCTTTATTGTGAGGTAATAGAAAGAACACTAAATATAGAGTCGAGAGATTTGGGTTCTTGTCTTGGTTCTTCTACTCACTCACTTTTTACCTTGGGAAAATCATTTAAGCTGTCTGGGCATCTGTTTCCTAATCTATAAAGTGAAGAAACATGGCCTCTAAGATCCTTTCCAGTTCTAAAATAATGTAATTCCAAGAATCTTGGGTCTGTCCACCATTGAATCAAGCTAGGTGGGAGAAGAGAGTGTGGGGGTGGGTGTTTTTATAAATATTCTTTGCCTCCTAAAATTAGGTATAGAACAAATGATTTTAGGGGTAGAAGTGAGGCATCCATTATGTTATACAACTTGTACCTCTTTTTTTATCCCCTACCTAGGATAGATAAGGTGTTTTGATCTTTTTACCAGACCCATGATTTCTTTTGAATAGGGAACTCCCAGGAAAGTAAGTCCCTCTACTGATGAAGTTTTTCAACTTTGCAGTCTTAGATTGCTGCTTGGAGAGCAACTGAGAAGTTGTAGCTATGCCATAGTCATGTTACAAGTCTGTATCCAGAAGTGAGACTTGAATTCAAGGCTTCCTGACTTGTCAGCTCTATCAGCTAAGCCATGACTGCAGTAATAACAATAGCTGACATTTATATTATACTTTAACACTTACGGTGCAGTTTGTATACATTATATCATGTAATCATGAACCCTGTGAGGCAGGCATGTGGGTATGTTAACCCCTTTATGCAGTTGAAGAAACTGAGGCTCAGAGAGGTTATATGACTTAACCAGGGTCATGTAACTACTAAGTACTGGAAAAAAATTCAGACTTAGGCCACCTCTGCCTCTTAAGTTCAGTGTTGTTTCTATTACACCTGGTTGCATTTTTTTTAAGGCGTCACGGTAACTTCATAGAAATTGCCTAGTTCTATCTCTCTTATGGGCAGGTGTATTACAGATGAGGAACTTGAGGGAAAGAAGCCCAGTGACTTACCCTAGGACCCAGTGAATGACAGAATTAGTATTATAACTCAGATCTCATAACACTTACTTAGCTCACTGTTAAGCTACTTGTTCTTGCTTTTTCACAGGTATAGGATGTCCCAAAAAGTCTTAGTGTAGTTTTAAGCTTAATGGCTTAAAGAATATACTGGAATAGACAATAGCTAGTAAGAGTAAATAGTGATAAAAGATGATTACTGTGCAACAATTTGAACACCATTAAACGAAGCAGCATAATGAAGAACAGTGTTCCAGCAGTCAGGTGACATCATTTCAAATCCCACCTCTTGACAGTTAATAGCTGTGTGACTATGACCAAGGCGCTTAACCTCTATAAGCCTCAGTTTCCTCAACTGAATAATGGGGATTATTACCTATAACACTTAGGTTTTTGTGAGGGACAAAATGAGATAATTTTGTTTCATTACTACAATAAATCTACAATTTCCTCTGACAGGGTATATCACTGCCCATCCATGCCTCCCCATCTTGTTCAGTTTATACCTTTATACTTCAAGAATTTGACTCTGGAGGCCTACTTGTTTTATGATAATAGATGTAAAACAAAATACTTGTAAACATTAAAATCCTCTATGTCAGCTATCATTATTGTTGTTGTTGTTGTTGTTGTTATTACTCCAAGACGTCTTTCAAATTTTTTGAGTGTCATTTGCTTTTAATTTGGGCTTTCCATCATACATATGACTATAGTATGGTATATTGGAAGATAGCATCCCTTGCCAGTTTAACAGATTGTACCATTTCATTCCATTGAGATCTTTAACTTTGTTCTGTGGGACCTTGCTTTGTAGGGTTTGTGTTATCAACTCAAATAGCTATATGGGCAAACTTTAAAAAAAAATTCTGACTGCTTCCATAAAATTACAGTATCTCACATTCAATAGATGCGTTTAGGGAAAGGTAGGAGAAAGTTTTTGATCATTTAAGAGGGAATATTTTTTAAAATTTCTAATTCACAACAGAATAGAAGGAAGGTTAGAAGGGAACCTGCAGTGAGGGTGATGTAAGTTAAAACTAATTTAACTTTAGCATATATTTTAAATTATGAACTTTATGTAATAGATTAATGGTTTCACATACAATCACCTTTTTTGTCCTTTGTACATGGAAATGTTCATGTTGCTGATTTTCTAGTTCCTAATTTTAAATATATGTATACTTTCTGAAAGGTATGCCAAAAAATGGAGCATCATCACTTATGAAAATCAGATAATTACTTCCTTTTGTGAGGTTATATTAATCTTTTGTGTATGTTTTTATTTAGAGCACAGTAGAAAGTGCAAAGCATTTCCTAGAGAAATGTACACCAGGAAAATGGAACATCCAGTATAACCATCTTAGCCTCAAGACCCCTGTTCCAAGGTAATTTTACTGCTGACATTAGAACCACCTATCCTGAATTATGTAATTAGTATATGTGTATGGTATTTCTAGAAGCAGCTTACTCTGAGGGGAAGTCTATTATTAAATTGACTGAATGAAGCACCACATAAAATTTCTTCCACATTTCTTTAAAGTGACATTGAAATATCACGTTCTTGCACAGCAAAGCCCATTGGTTACCTGGCTAAAGAAATTGGCTTACTCTCTGAAGAAGTGGAAATGTATGGTCAGACAAAAGCCAAGGTTCTGCTGTCTACCTTAGAACTCCTGAAACACCAGCCTGATGGAAAATATGTGGTCGTAACGGGGTATGTTTTTCTGATACATGTTACCAAGTTGATTGATAACTCAAAATCAAACTATAGATTTTTTCCTCTTTTTTTTTATGAACTTTGTAAAATATCAACATATAGCAACATTTCATTGACTCCTTTTTTTCTGTTTTAATAGCATTCTTATTCTTCCCGGCCCTTCCCTGCATCTCCCCTGCCACTCCCAAATGAAAGCCCTTCCATTGTAAAAAAAACTATGAGCAAAAGAAATTTACATGTCAATCATGTCTGAAAATATAAGCTTCATTCTTCACCTACAATCCATTACTTCTCTGCCAGAAGTTAAAAAGCATGTTTGATAATCAGTCTTCTGGAGTCATTATTGATTTTTATGTTGTTCAGAGTCCTTAAAACTTTCAAAGCTGTTGTCCTTTACATTGTCATAGTCATTGTCAAAATTGTTCTGGTTCTGCTCACTGCATTCAATGTTAGTTCATGCAAATCTTCCCAGATTTCTCTTAATCAGCCCCTCTTGTCATTTTTTACAACTCAGTAATATTCTGTTACACTCATACATGAGAATTTGTACAGCTCCCAGTTGATAGGTCCCGGCTTTGTTTTCAAATTGATGCTCTAAATATTTTTTGTACACACAAACAATCTTTTCCTTCATTTCTTATCTCTTTGGGGTATGTTTCTAATAGTTCTTGCTACCATTTCTAATGCATACAGATTTCCTAGCCTTCTATGACATGGAGGAAGAGATGGTTTATTTTTCAAGTTAATTCGTCTGCCCTCATTTTATAGATAGTGAACTATCTCTAAGGAGATGAAGTGGGGACTAGAATGTAGGTTTCTCAACTCCAGTTCAATGCTTTTTCCATTCTACTTTAGTAAGAGGAACATAGAGGTTAAATGGAAAAACGGTGATCTTTATCTAATTTGAGGCTCAACCAATTTCCTGTACTAACAGATAGACCAATGACTGTGGTTTCTGTTGTCCCCAAATAGTGTAGTGGCTACTTAGTGAAGGGTGGAAGCAAAGTAGGACATTGATTTAGTTTCATAGTTTTAGGAACTGTATCAGATCCCTAAATGGAAAATGGAAATGATGCCATCTTAGGCATTTCTTTCTCAGATTTTTTTTAAAATGGTAGAATTATTTCATGATGACAGTGGGGTAAGGTCTCTGTGTCAGTTTTATTCTTTATACCTTTTATTCTGTATTTCTTGTACCAAAACAATTATTAAAGTTTCAGTAAAAAATTCAATGAAATCCAAGTACTGTAAATAAATTGATTTCTTTTGTTGTTGGTTTTTTTTTTTCCTCTTGTTTTTTCATTTTTATATTAAAGAATAACCCCTACACCTCTGGGAGAAGGAAAGAGTACAACCACACTAGGGCTGGTTCAAGCTCTGGGAGCACATCTTCACCAGAATGTTTTTGCTTGTGTTCGACAACCATCTCAGGGCCCAACCTTTGGAATAAAAGGTATTCGTTGGTCTTTGATCCTATGGTCGGTGAGAACCTTCTCATTTCATTTGATTGGATTTTTGTTCCCTGCAGTAGAATGCTTAGATTCTGGCTAGGCCAGGTATCTTCTGATGGTTATAGGAGTTCCAATGTAGTACGATTATTAACCTGCTCCAGATGTAGTTTGGGTGAGGGTTCTTGTCAGATCTTTAACAGGATTAGTCCTATTCCTCGCCTACTGTTGCGGTCAGTACTACAAAAGGATCCTCTGGAATTCTGTTTATAGGAAGTAATAACTTATTGCTCAATGACATGACACTCATTTTATATACCTATGTGTAACATTAATGTAGTGCGTCTGAGGTGTTACAAAATACTTTCCTAATTGCACTTTTGTGAGATGGGTAATATTATTTTCTCCATTTTATAGATAAGGAAACTGAAATTCAGGCATTTGTCCATGGTCAAATAGTTAAAAGTATCCGAACAGTCATTTGAACTGTGGTCCCCCAGTCCCAAGTCCATTTATCTTTCCACTACATCCTTCTGTCTTAGTTAGTTGTTACTTATCTCTAATGAATGAAAATGAGCTCTAAGCAGGATTTGTACACTTTTCTTAAAAACTTCTCTCAACATAATTGCCATATACTTCCAATTATAATTATAAGAGCAGAACCTTTTACTTTCAGCTTTTAATTGGCTTCTAATACAACTCTTGTTAATTACTAATATAATTTCATCTTTGCTTGTATGACAATCTGTTTAATGTAGCAATTCTCATTAACACTACTCAATGCTCTTCTTAGCTTCATCTCTTAAACATTTTTTATTAGTTTATTTACCTTTCAATTCTGCCTTTACCTCATCTTAACCTTTCCTTAAAAGCATCAGCTAACATAACTAGAAAATTTTGTTCTCTTCTTTTTAAGCCTTGCACCTTCCTATTTGATTTCTCAGACTCATTTGTCATCTTTTCAGTGATTAATGACTGCTCTAGCTCAGATATCCCTTCTTAGGCTAAATCCTTAGTATGTCACAATAGTTTGTCTTTCTTATTGATCCGTGTTTACAACTGAGAGACCTTTGGATCTAAGCAAAAATATAGCAGTAGTAACATTTCATGAAAGAGCTTCCTATGTCAGCATATTTAGAGAGGTGTTTTCTCTATGTTTCTGTATCCCTTTCCAACATCATTATGGCATTTGTGATACTACTATTTTTAAAATTTTAACCACTTTGAGTGAATGACTTTCCAAATCTTTTATATAATTCCTTGTCTCCTTTATATTTTTAAAAATTTCTTCAGCAAGCAGTTAGCCCTGACAGCTTAATGATTATTCCTTCCCAGTGGAAGGGATCTTCTTCCATTGTCTCTGTCCATTTGCCCTTGTATTTTTGAATGAATTTTCTTTTTGTAAGTTCTGCTGTCTTTACTTCATACCAGTTCCTTTTTAAGGGGAAAAAAAACATTAGTTCATTTTCTTGTGGAATTGTTTAATCTAATTGAAGAATATTAGCACTAAAAGGGAACTTGGAGAACATCTACTCTAAGATACTAATTTTACAGTTGAAGGAACTGAGGACCAAATAATTAAGGAACTCTTAACTGAATGCTTGATTTTTTTATTAGGGCTTATTTAGTTTTTCTCAAAATTGGTGCCATTGGGGAACGTATTTCCAATGCTAATATTATTTTTACTTTTTATAAAGATAAAGGGCTTTATTTTAATATTCATAAATGGAAAGCAGATATAATCATGAACAGATTTGTCCAAATCATTGCCAAAAATATATAGCCAGCTGTCTTAATTGATAAGAAGTTTCAATTTCTTCTTTTTTTTTTTAATTTTTAAGAGAAATTTCAGTATAGCTGCTGATTAGATACGCTTATTTTTGACCTGACTTCTAGGTGGAGCTGCAGGAGGGGGCTATTCTCAGGTTGTTCCAATGGAAGAGGTAATTTTCATTTTTCTTGGTTTTCTAAAACTGAAGCTTTTTTATTTGGCAGGTAATCTCTTTCTGTTAGTATGTGAGCAATTTGCTACTCAGCAAAACTTCTTGAAAGGAAACACTTCTTAATTTGTCAACTTGTTGCAAACTTATTTCATTCATATGCGTGGCCTTTAAGGGTTAAGGATGTCTTTTGCCTAAACATTAATTTTTAAAAGTTTCTAAGCCAGTGAATGAACTGGATCATGAGATTGGGAAGGAGACCTTTATATATATTTATAAAATATAAGAAGATATCAACACTCAGAGAATTTTAAAATGTTGTGTCTCAAGCAAAGAGTAAACTAGTTCTTAAATATACATGAGTTGTGTTGAAATATAACTACCTAGTGAAATGCTAACAACAGAACTTTATTACTCACTTATGGGACATGAAAGACAAATACAGTTGAATTTTTTAAATGTTCCTGTAGCTTACCCTAACAGCATATGTCTTTTCTGAGTTCTGGACCATGTTATTTAGGAAATGCCACATTGACCATGTTTGGGAGGGGTTCTTTATGTGGGTAGATTATTGGTAATTTTTTTTTTCATTTTCACAAGTTGTATGGAGTATTTTCCCAGTAACTATGATCTGTTACTATTCTACTGACTTTAGCATAGTAGTTGGTTCAGTTGCCACAGACTGCGTGTTATAGAAATAATGGGAAGTTGGAAAATTGATGTGAAGAAAAAAAATTTTTTTTTTTAGTTCAACCTCCATCTCACTGGTGACATCCATGCCATTACTGCAGCTAATAATTTGGTTGCTGCTGCTATCGATGCCCGCATATTCCACGAACTGACACAGACAGACAAGGTACGGTAGAATATTTAGAAAATAAAACTAAAGATCACCTGAATTTGAAGTATTGTTTATATGGCTCTTGGTGGTGATAATATGCATAAGATGATGCTTTTGCCTTTAAAAGATCTATTTCTTCTTTTCTTCAAGGCTCTCTTTAATAGTTTGGTACCTTCAGTCAATGGAGTGAGGAAGTTCTCAGATATTCAAGTCCGTAGGCTGAAGGTAAATTTCCATTTTGTTTTGTGATTTGAAGGAATCGTACTGGGGTAGGAAAAGGAAGTGAAGCTTCTAATGGCCTGTTGTTGAGTCAGTCATTGTCGCATCTACAACTGGGGTTCTAAAGACCTCATTTTACTTAAATGATGCTGTGACGGGGACTGGTGTAGACTGTTAATGATTTCAGCCACAAATTTCAAGCAGCCAGATCTCAGATGAAACATATATGATCTCTGTACAATCTCACCAAAAGGAGATTTTATATGCTAAGGCTAATAATGCTTTTACGCTTACAGCACTTTTCACTTTTTTTCAGTGTTCTCACATCCTTTATTTTGCGTGCTTCACAACCATCTATTGCAGTGGGCGTTGTCTCAGTTTTACAAAAACAGAAATTGAGGCACAAAAAAATGAAGTGTAATACCTAAGACTGTGCATCAAACTGTAGTCAGGGCCTGCACTTAGGTCTCCTGAGCCCTAGACCCAGATTTTTTTCCAGTATAAAAGCAGGAGGCAACCTGATACCTCTCACTCAATTATTTGCATGCTTTTTGACAGCTCTTAGCATATCTGTCATCTGTGGTCACAGGGTCATAGATCTAGTTAGAGCTAAAAGAAACACCAGAGGCCATAAAATCTAGACTCTGATTTTAGAGATGAGGAGCCTGAGTACCAGGGACAGTTTAGTCTTCTGTCCAAGATTGCACATAGTAAACATTAGAGCCATACAGGGTCTTTGAATGAATGCCCCCTCCTAATTGAGGGATTTGATATGGATATTGGTATGTCAGCAGCAAAATCCATGTGATTCCCGTGTGAGAGACTAAAGATAGGTAAAATTTATTTTTTAGATATTGTGGGCTAAAAATCAGGGAGTGTAGTTTTAACTAAGAAAGTTTAGTTCCTGTCTGCCACAAGATTGGAGCAAAGGAAAACAAATTCTTTGTTTTTCGAAACAAACAGGGATGCCTCTTAGGCCCTCATAGCTATGAGAAGGACTCAATAGGTTGTGCAGTAGTTGAATGAAGTTGGTTTGTTGAAATGATCTCTGCCACATTAAAAAACTTGGCAAATTGCTCATACTGTCAGTATGTGGGTGTTTGGAGGCTTTGGGTGAGTGAGGTTTGTGCATGTGCGTGTGCGTGTGTGTATGTGCAGGTTGGAGAGGGAAGTGGAGCTGTGCTTTCTAGATTTTATTTACTGAATATTTTAGAAAAGAATCACAGGAGGGGGGAATGTTTTCTAAAGGAATAGATGCAAATGTATAATGATCAGTAATCTGAAGTAGGTTTTTGGAGTTTAATCAAGAATAAAATTTCTGTTTTAAAAATAGTTTGTGTTTCCCAGTTGATGTTGACACCCAGTCTAATAAACAAAACTGGTCTTCTGGAGTTTGTCATCATTCTACTGACTTTTCTGACTTAGAAATACTATTTTCATCTCTTAACTTTGCTTGGAAAGTATTTATTTTCCAAGGAAATAAAGATTTTATATATGTTTTTTCCTTCCCACATTTCCAGAGACTAGGAATTGAGAAAGATGACCCTGCCACCTTAACAGATGAAGAAATAAATAGATTTGTGAGATTGGATATTGATCCAGAAACCATAACCTGGCAAAGAGGTATCAGAATGATATACCATTCTAGTTTGTATTTCCATTTAAGCCAAGAAAAGTAAATGTGTGCGATTTATAATGTTCCTTTGACCTTTGTGTGAGTCACAGCCAGCATAAACATTGCTAGGCTCAAATAGCCTCTAAAGTTATGTATGTTGCCCTGATTTGACTGGTCCTTGTTAATCAGCTGTAATCAAGAAATACTTTGCTTGAATGGTTGAGTATTCTTAAATTCCAGATGTTCTGTGTGAATTGAATGAGGGTTCCCGGGAGAAATTTCATTCGTAAATATAAGATAATTATTCACCACTTTTGCTTTTTTATTTTAAAATGTTATGAATTGTTGATATAGTAAAGGTCATTTAGAAGAGAAAGGCTGGCAAGATGATATGAGAAAGCAGAGGTTTTTCTCAGAATTCAAATCTAGTATAAGTGACTTTATTTTAGTTGCAGTCTTTGCTTGCCTAATCATTTTTATCTCATTTTATTCAACTATTATTCCAAACTATGAGGTAGTCTTCAAGTCTCAGTAACTTGGTGAAATGTGAATACAAAATATGCCATTTATTGGTGAGTTGCCTGACTTCTTCGTATGGCCCTAATCTTTTATGTAAAACTACCATGACCTAGAATTTTGTTTGATACATTAGCCAATGTCCCTTTCTTCCTCCTCCTTCCCTTCCCCCGTCCCAAATAAACACCTTTTACATTTACCTAGTGGGGAAAATTTCTCTTAGTCATGACTTTTTGCAAACTTAAGCCAAAATCATTGACTTTTTATTATTGCAGTTGGCCCAGTGACTACTGCTAGGTAATGACAATTAATGTGATTGTTTTAATGTCAGAAACAACATTGGGTAGTTTTCAACTCTCTGTTAGAATAACTTTGAACAGATGGCACAATGACTCATCAAAGAATATTCTAAGGATTACTTCTGAAATTTAGTTTCCCGTTCACTTTAGTTTTCTGCTTTATGTGTAATTCATACTTTCTGTCCTACAGTAGAGGTAGAGAAAGGAAAGGATTTGAACACACCATAGCGACCACCAGTCCCATTGCTGACTATGTTTAATTAGGAGAAATAGTAAAATTCAGAGACACAGACCTTCTTAACCAGATACATTGATAAACTCCATATCTTCATAGGATATGTTACTGAAACTATGGTCATGAGAACTCCAGTTGCTGACACCCAATTCTTTCCAAAATGCATTCATTTTTGCCTGGTTTATGACCTGTTGTAACTTTTTATCATGGTTCCAGAAACCAGTCAACCATTATAGATTGGCAAAATAGATCTTTTACTTTGGAAAAAAGTAAGCTAGTCTCAGTTTGCATTAAATGTGTGATATATTTGAGGGCATAAATGAAAACCTATTTCCTGTGAAAATATTTAATAAAAATATTTCTTAGGGGACTCAGTTCTCAATTTTTGTGAGCTGAATGAAACTTAGCATACTACCTTACTTAGCATTTTGAATTTTATTATTATTTAGATATTTCTTTCTGATTCCTTATTCCATGTTCTCTTGTGTTCCCAATAGGCCATGAACTATTGATTGGATATTATTCATTGTTTGATCATAAAATTTAAATGGTATCTTAAAGACATAACTGTTTGATTTTTTTAATATTACTTTTTCTTTGTCTTCCCCTTACTTTGGTAATGTTAGATACCAATGACAGATTCCTAAGGAAAATCACAATTGGTCAATCACCAAATGAAAAAGGACACACACGAACGGTAACTACTTTTTCCTTTTTCACTTCAAGTAAAAACACTTGTATGAATTAAGTTCTACTTCCCTTCCCTTCTGTCCCCTCCCCCACTTCATACCCACCCCTGTTTGAACAAATGCTTCTTTTGCCTTCTCACTTTTAAAATGAAAGTGAGTAGGTGTGTGTGGAAGAGAGCTCTGACAGCTTTTGCAATGAATTTCCATTTACCACCTGAAAAGTTTTTCCCAGAATAGTAGCATGAAGATGGATAATCTCAAGTGAATATCTTTGCATGTCATTTGCTTATAACTAACTTTTAAAAATTAGTTGTATATTCCATCAAATTAGAGAGCTTCAGTACTTAAGAGTTGAGTGGACACTGTCATTGAGTGTAACAACTCCTTATGTGGGTCTGTATTATTAGATAAGCCATAACTACTCGCAGATCACTAGTGTGCTTCACTGAAATTAAGTATTCCTCTAGAAATACAGTCTCTTTGCTTGGGCCAGAGAACTAGATAGTCATCTTGGTTTTAGAAATTTTATAAAATATATATATGTGTGTATATGTGTGTATTATAAATAATTATATATTTGTATGTATATATTTATATGTATGTATGTATATATATACATATATACACACATGAATATTAAATCATATTTCGAATCCAGAGCATTAGTTTTTTATTGTATTCAGTATACCTAGTCACATACTAGGCAATTAATATATATGTTTGTTAAATTGAATTGAGTTGAAATAACTGGAGATTTCTGACCATTGATCTTTGTGGTATCCACACTCAACAACCATTTCTTTAAAATGCCAACATTCAACTGGGGTAGCAGTGATGTCATCATTCAGCAACCCTCTCTTGGAAAGGTCAACATTGTACTGGCACAGCAGGGCAGCCATTTCATGAGAGAGGATCCTTCAAGTGATTGTTGTTCGATTTGCACTTTTACTGGATAGGGTAAAAAATTTGCCTTCATCTTCTAGATACAGTGCAGTACAACATATACTACTATTTGTAAGTCTTTTATAATTTGTGAGATTAGTTTGGAAAAAAGTAAGAGACATATAGCCATCAAAATAGCGGTTAGGTGATGTGATCTCCCAGCAGCTTCTAGGTTCGTAGTTTTATAGTAAATCATACATACACACATAGATACACACGCACATATATATACATATATATGTGTGTGTGTATTATAAATAATTATATATGTCTACATAAATATTTCTATGTATGTATGTAAATATATATATACATATATGCACACATGAATATTAAATCATATTTCGAATCCAGAGCATTAGTTTTTTATTGGATTCAGTATTCGTAGTCACATACTAGGCAATTAATATATATGTTTGTTAAATTGAATTGAGTTGAAATCACTGCAGGTTTCTGACCAGTGATCTTTATGGTATCCACACTCAACAACCATTTCTTTAAAATGCCAACATTCTATTGGGGTAGCAGTGATGTCATCATTCAGCAACCCTCTCTTGGAAAGGTCAACATTGTGCTAGCACACCAGGGCAGCCATTTCATGAGAGAGGATCCTTCAACTGATTGTTGTTGGGTTTGCACTTTTACTGGATAGGGTAAAAAATTGGCCTTCATCTTCTAGATAAAGTGCGTACATCATATACTTCTACTTGCAAGTCTTTATATAATTTGTGAGATTAATTTGGAAAAAAGTAAGAGACATATAGCCATCAAAATAGAAGGTGGGTTATCTGATCTCCCAGCAGCTTCTAGGTTCCTAGTTTGACAGTAAATCATACATACACACATACATACGAACACACACCTATATATATGTGTGTGTGTGTGTGTGTATGTATGTATATGTGTGCATTATAAATAATTATATATTTGTATGTATATATTTATATGTATATATGTATGTATATATATACACATATACACACACATGAATATTAAATCATATTTGGAATCCAGAGCATTAGTTTTTTATTGTCTTCAGTATTCCCAGTCATGTACTAGGCAATTAATATATATATTTGTTAAATTGAATTGAGTTGAAATCAATACAGGTTTCTGACCTTTGATCTTTGTTGTATCCACACTCAACAACCATTTCTTCAAAATGCCGACATTCTACTAGGGTAGCAGTGATTTCATCACTCAGCAACCCTCTCTTGGAAACGTCAACGTTGTACTGGCACAGCAGGGCAGACATTTTATGAGAGAGGATCCTTCAACTGATTGTTGTTGGGTTTGCACGTTTAATGGATAGGGTAAAAAATTGGCCTTCATCTTTTAGATAAAATGCAGTACATCATATACTTCTTCTTGTAATTCTTTATATAATTTGTGAGATTAATTTGGAAAAAAGTAAGAGACATATAGCCATCAAAATAGCACGTGGGTGATCTGATCACCCAGCAGCTTCTAAGTTCGTAGTTTTATACTAAATCTTACATACACACATACACACCTATATATGCACATGTGTATAATATAAATAATTATAGATTTGTATGTATATATTTATATGTATGTATGTATATACATGTATACATATATACACACATGAATATTAAATCATACTTCGAATCCAGAGCATTAGTTTTTTATTGTATTCAGTATACCTAGTCACATACTAGGCAATTAATATATATGTCTGTTAAATTGAATTGAGTTGAAATCACTGCAGGTTTCTGACCGTTAATCTTTGTGGTGTACACACTCAACAACCATTACTTTAAAATGCCAACATTCTACTGGGGTAGCAGTGATGTCATCACTCAGCAAGCCTCTCTTGGAAAGGTCAACATTGTACTGTCACAGCAGGGCAGCCATTTCATGAGAGAGGATCCTTCAACCGATTGTTGTTGGATTTCACTTTTACTGGATAAGGTAAAAAATTGGCCTTCATCTTCTAGATAAAGTGCAGTACATCATATACTTCTACTTGTAAGTCTTTATATAATTTGTGAGATTAGTTTGAAAAAAAGTAAGATACATATATAGCCATCAAAATAGCAGGTGGGTGATCTGATCTCCCAGCAGCTTCTAAGTTTGTAGTTTTATAGTAAATCTTACATACACACATACATACACACATACACACCTATATATATATATGCACATGTGTATAATATAAGCAATTATAGATTTGTATGTATATATTTATATGTATGTATGTATATACATTTATACATATAGACACACATGAATATTAAATCATATTTATAATCCAGAGCATTAGTTTTTCATTGATTTCAGTATTCCCAGTCACATAGTAGGCAATTAATATAGAAGTCTGTTAAATTGAATTGAGTTGAAATCACTGTATGTATTTGACCATTGATCTTTGTGGTATCCACACTCAACAACCATTTCTTTAAAATGCCAACATTCTAATGGAGTAGCAGTGATGTCAATATTCAGCAACCCTCTCTTGGATTGGTCAACATTGTAGTGGCACAACAGGGCATCCTTTTCATGAGAGAGGATCCTTCAAGTGATTGTTGTTGGATTTGCACTTTTACTGGATAGGGTAAAAAATTGGCCTTCATCTTCTAGATAAAGTGCAGTACATCATATACTTCTACTTGTCAGTCTTTTATAATTTGTGAGATTAATTTGGAAAAAAGTAAGAGACATATAGCTATCAAAATAGCAGTTAGGTGATGTGATCTCCCAGCAGCTTCTAGGTTCCTAGTTTTATAGTAAATCATACATACACATATACATACGAACATACACCTATATATACACACACACACACATATATGTATATATGTATAAGTGTGCATCATAAATAATTATATATTTGTATGTATATGTTTATGTATGTATGTGTGTGGGTGTATATATATATGTGTATATATGTATATATACACATATACACACACATGAATATTAAATCACATTTGGAATCCAGAGCATTAGTTTTTTATTGTATTCAGTATTCCCAGTCACGTACTAGGCAATTAATATATATATTTGTTGAATTGAATTGAGTTGAAACCACTACAGGTTTCTGACTTTTGATCTTTGTGATATCCACACTCAACAACAATTTCTTTAAAATGCTGACCTTTTAGTAAGAGACATATAGCCATCAAAATAGCAGGTGGGTGATCTGATCTCCCAGCAGCTTCCAGGTTCGTAGTTTTATAGTAAATCTTACATACACACATACATATACACACACACACACATATATATATGCATATGTGTGTAATATAAATAATTATAGATTTGTATGTATATATTTATATGTATGTCTGTATATACATCTATCCATATATACACACATGAATATTAAATCATATTTAGAATGCAGAGCATTAGTTTTTCGTTGTATTCGGTATTCCCAATCACATAATAGGCAATCAATATATATGTCTGTTAAAATGAATTGAGTTGAAATCACTGCAGGTTTCTGACCGTTGATCTTTGTGGTATCCACACTCAACAACCATTTCTTTAAAATGCCAACATTCTACTGGGGTGGCAGTGACGTCAATATTCAGCAACCCTCTCTTGCATAGGTCAACATTGTACTGGCACAGCAGGGCATCCATTTCATGAGAGAGGATCCTTCAAGTGATTGTTGTTGGACTTGCAATTTTACTGGATATTGTAAAAAATTGGCCTTCATCTTCTAGATAAAGTGTAGTACATCATATACTTCTACTTGTCAGTATTTTATAATTTGTGAGATTAATTTGGAAAAAAGTAAGAGACATATAGCCATCAAAATAGCAGTTAGGTGATGTGATCTCCCAGCAGCTTCTAGGTTCCTAGTTTTATAGTACATCATATATACACATATACATACGAACACACACACACACACATATATATATACACACACACACATGTATATATGTATATGTGTGCATCATAAATAATTATATATTTGTATGTATATATTTATATGTATGTATGTGTGTGTGTGTGTATATATATATATATATACATATACACACACATGAATATTAAATCATATTTGGAATCCAGAGCATTAGTTTTTTAT